TCACCGTTTTGTTGCATGGCTGCGGTCTGACGCAGGAGGGCGCAGATCTCCGCCAGGTGCGCCTTCCTCCTTCCCGCACCTTCCCATCCCAGCGCAGCTGGCTCTAGTTGCTCTATCGCCTCCTCTCCTCCAGCCCACTTCTCCTTCGCAGGGGGAAGCTGACTTGATGCGCATAATAAATCTTCTCCGCAAGATTCCTTTTCGGGCCCAATTTAAGACCTACACGTGTTGGATTTGAGAGCGTAAACAGGGGCGAGAGTCGAACCTCTTAACTGAAGATGTTTCAGATGTGATTCAGCAAACAACGTGGGTGTTGTGTGTGTGCGCGTTGAGCAATTTTAACACAGCACTCTGCAGTCCTGTGTTTTCAGCCACTTGCTGTTCATTATATTGCTTTTCTGGTAGATGCATGCTTGTGTCCCAGTGGCTTTCACTGACCACACATATTATAACAGCAACTCCTAGCTCATAGGCTCACACAAGATGATTTTATGCTGCCGGTCTAGTGTGAAATGAAGTCTTCCTATAGTAAACAAGTGACTATTGAAGAAATGGACTGTATTTTTTTTGAAGCCCATATGCCCACTTTATCAGAAAATTGTTTGAAATATGTTATGCCCCCTAGTGGTCGGTAATAATGCGGCTTTAAACGCTCATAATAGCAGACAAGATGCACTTCATGTAGATGTTATTAGGTGCCGCAATTAGACCTGTTTGTTATGTTTTTCTTTCACTTGTTACAATTAATTCTAAATACAATACACACTCATCTGAGCCACTTTTGCTAAGGAGAAAAAGCTGACTGAAAAACACATTCTGTGTAAAGACAATTTATGTGCTGAAAATTAACGAGACATTTGCTTCATGAACACTTAACACCAGGAATAACTCCAGTTTGCAACTCTGGTGCAGTGGGATTAGTTTAGAGAGTAGCTCGCTAACTGTAAAATAATACTTGGTGCAGCTTTAATCGACCCATTTTATGATACTATTTAATTTCTTGGAAAACTCCTCATGAGGGCTTGAAAATTCACACTTTTTCCCTGTGAACAATTATCAGTTTAGTTCATATCTGACTATATGATCTAGGCTAGATTTCAAATGAAGTTTAGTTTGGCTGGGCAGCCTTACTTTGTGTGCACAGCCAAAAATTACGTTTAAAATGAGCTTTCCGCTGACTTCTTTTCAACATCTGGGGGAAGTGCCCTAAAAGGAAAAGAC